TCAGGTGATATTTGAAAATCTTTATTTATGGGATCGAGATGCTATTTATATCGTTGAACTCCAAAAATTTGTTATTAAAAAAGGAAGAAAGTACCTATTTTTTAGTGAAAAGATTAAACAAGTTGTTGATTTGATCACTGTATATGATTAACTCATCAAAGAAGTTTGTATTGCTATTTATATGATATTTTAAAAAGAGAAATGGATAAAGATAATCAATATTGTTAATCTAACTCGTGTGGCTATTGCTAGGCCATTTTAAAACAAAGAGAAAGAGTTAACAAAGATGTGCAAAGAATTTCTTGGTCTATTTTATGGATAATGAGATTTACCACTAAAGCAGGAACTAGAACACGAGATCTGACTCTTTTTAGATTCATCACTTTCAAATTTAAGCATGTATCATTATTCTATAGTAAAAAGTGAACAAATAAAGAAATAAGTGTTTGATTTGCTTGAAAGTAATGTTATAAAACCAAGTAATTTGCTCACCAGTGGTTTTTATTCGTAAGAAGGACGGTGGTTGGCGTATGTGTATTGATTATCATGTCTTGAACAAAATCACGATAAAGAATTGATACCATCTTCCTAAGATAGATGATCTTCTAGATCAATTGAAGCATGTCTATTATTTTTCAAAGTTAGATTTAAAATATGATTATCATTAAGTACAAATCCAATAAGAAAAAAATTCTTGTAAAACACCTTTTAAGATAAAGTAACTTTTGTTTGAGTGGCTATTCATGTTATATGGACTTTATAATGCTCCTGCTATATTTATGCAGTTAATGAATGATGTCTTGCAACATTTCATCGATCAATTTGTCATTGTCTATCTTGATGACATTTTCATCTATAATCGTATTTGGGAGGAATACCTAGATCTTTAAGAAAGGTATTTGAGTTGTTACAAAAATATGAGCTCTACCTTAATAAAAAAAATGTGAGTTTGGATAGAGATCATCATTATACCTTAGATCCATTATGGGTAATAGTGAATTGGAAATATAACAACAAAAACTGAAGGCTGTTAGAGATTAGCATCAACAAATAGATGTCACTCAAATTTGAAGTTTTATAAGAACTTGTCAGTATTTAAAGAAATTTATTCAGAATTTCTCTATGACAGTCAATTCTTTACATGAGCAGGAAAAGACAAATTGACAAGTTGAGTGGAATTAGATATTTTCATATTGATAATTCCTAAAACAACTTAATAAAATTAAACGTGACTAGTCAATATGAATCCTTGAAAATATTGACTATATTAAGAAAGAGGCATATGACACTAAAAAATGCTACAAACTCAATAATGAAATAAAAGATCAATTCACTAAGTCCACCTATCCCAAATTGTTCTACAAATATGAACTTAAGCTCATAACAGTCTAAAACCTTTAACTAATACATCGAGGCACTCTAATAGGATCATGAATGTGAAAACCATTTAAAAATATATGACATCCATTGGATAGTTAAAAAATAACAAAATAATCAAGTATTAAAGTTCACCGAAACAATTATTAAGAGCCTCAAATCCTTCACCTTTAGTGAAAAGTACGAAAAACTAGTGGGTTTAGTAAACATTAAATTAAAGAAATAAAAAATTATGACTACAGGTGAGTATTCGGTAAGTTCAGTAAAAAATTATCATAACCGCAAAAATCTACCAAAATTTATTAACCGAACTGAATCAACTCAATGAATATTTAAAATTAAAATTGGATCGATGCGAGAAAAAATTGGTTGTGTGCAAGATTCATTCCTGGATGATCTGATCCTTGTTACCATAGCTCTGAAGGGAAATAATTATTTGTCATGGAGTAGGCATAATCAGATTGCTGGCATTGATTATTCAGAGAGTTTTTCACCAGTTGCAAAAATGGTCATAGTTTGTTTATTACAATCATTCATGCTTGGCTCCTAAAGCAATCCTCATATCTACTCCATGACAAATAATTATTTTTTTGTAGAGGTATAGTAACAAGATTCATACCTGGATGATCTGATCCTTGTAAGAATAAAAGGTGATAATTATTTCATGCTTTAACAACCTGAGTTTATGTTGATTGCAAATAAGCAGCAAGTCCTTCCTCCATGTTGAGTAATAGAACCAATAAAATTAGTAAAACAAAAGGAAATAAAACTTAAAATACTGCATATTTAAATCTTTTGATCGATTGCTCTGATCCTATGTACAAATGGAATGCATAACAAAGTATAAATGAGCAAAAAATGAAAAAAGAAGAAGACAAACAAATAATCGAGTAAAATAAAGCAGAAAAGAAAATATGGGAGAAAAAGAGAAAAAAAATTTATTAGTTGCCTTCCACACCATTACAAAAGGGTTTTACCATTAGTATATGTATAAAACAGTTAATCACCTTCGATCAAATGACAACATCATAAATGAATAGAAAATAAATATAACAACTATACATATAATCAACAAATACAACAAACTTTACATGTCATTAATAAATAATCTTATAAGTTGGTTCAATTTTAGATCAAATAACTGATTATTTAATTCTTTTAGAAAAAAAGTGGGAGTGACTAAATAAAAATTGGTTATTTGTTTCTTTAAAAAAAATGAAATAAAATAAAGATTAGGTATTAGTTGTCTCCCATTTCAAATGACACCCCTCTATATATATTTGATATTTCCTACATTATACGTCCATTCTTATCAATCTGTTTTAATATATATATATACACACACACACACACACACACACATTAATATACATGATCCATTAACCATAAAGTTATAGACAATTGAAAATTAAATAACTTACTAGTGAGGTTAGAGCTATTGGATGATAGAGAAAGAAAGACCATGGGGAGAGGCTAAACAACAATGAGGAGGGAAGTTGAACAATAAAGTCACGAAGTTTCTTCTTCCTTTGTTTATTCTTATTCTTCTTCTTCTTTACTCTTTTCTTGTTCAAAAAATGAGAACATATGAGACTTGAGATGTGAGGCACGTGAGGTTTTTTCTTTATCTTTTTCTTAATATTTTAAATTTAGCTACTAATTTATATTTATATAATTATAATATATAAACAGAGATTCAATTTTTTGGTCAATTTTAATTTCTAGATTTAAAAATTTGGACCTGACCGATTAAGAAATTATTATTTTTGATTCCTAGCCAATTAAATTGGTTAACCAATTCAACCGAAATGATTTCCATAACCAGTTCAGTTTAAACCAATTAAGTTATTTTGGCAATTTTTGCTCTCCTCAAATCTAGACACTTCATATAGTATTTTTATATAAAGATCTAATAGGAATAATTCTCCATCATGATGACATTTTTTTCATTATTATGACCATAAAAAACTTTAAAGTCTAGAGGATATTGGCAAAAATAGGAGTTTCATGGAATTCTCTTATAAAGAGCATTCAAACAACTTGTTTAAATTGATTTCTCTTTACTCCAAATGGAGTTTTCGACCTAATCAAATTATGCAACTCTCAACTATATCATTTGAAGGCTCTATTTCTTTGTTACTAATAAATAAATAAATAACTATGCACAAGTATCATAATTGCAGATTCTTGGTAACTAACATGTCCTTAACATATAATTTATTATTAAATGATGCCCTTAAATGTTTTGAAAGTAATAATATCTTTTATTTACCTCATGATGAAGATTCTTAAAAAGAAAACAATAGTTAGACAAGTTAGAGGAAACAAAAGAGGAGCAAAAAGTGTTACCTAGTATCACTAACTAAATAACACTATTTTATAATTAAGACCTTTTGTTTATACATGTGTGAGCAAAAAAATCTTCAAGACTAATATAACCAATAGAAGAAATACCTCTTTATCAAATCAAGTAATTGGTCTGAAAAAACTATTTAGAATAGTCAAAATTAAATGAGCAAATAATGTACAAGTACTAGAAAGCCACTTCTATATAGATTCCCCATGAAATGCATAGCGCGACCTAACTTCTCATGCAAATTATCTTTTATTAAAGAATTACAACACATTAAAGCAAAAAAAAAATGATCTATTTAAATAAAATACCAAACATCGAAAAAAAAAAGATCATCAAACTTATAAAGGCAAGATTTATAAGGAAAATCAAGTAGCAAAAAT